GGAGTTGTGCTGCCAACTCAGAGGGCAGACAACCCGAATCCACTAGCTGCTCCAAAGGGAAAAGAAAGATGTGCCCTCTCCTCCTGTGCGATTTGCAGCCTCTGAAAACCCACTGGAGGGTCAGATCCAAATGGGGTTCCAACTCAGCAGCACTTAACAACAACATACTAAGTCATTAAGAGATGAATGAACTCACGACAACAACTGCAGCAATTTATGTCAAAAAACTGTAATGGGCTATCCTCAAGAAGGTCTAATAAGCTAGCTAAAACAGTAAGTAGAGACCAACACTAAAACTCAAGGCCCAAATTCTTAATGATTGACAAATGATGCTTCTTTGAATGCCTTTGGGACAACTCATTACTTCTTTAAATACATAATCAGCAAAGGAATTTCTGTTAATTCAGGATCCTTGCACAGGCAGGGATTACAAATGAGTTGTTTCTAAATCTATCTTCAAATTGAATTTGAATGTAATTTGGAACAGTCAAGTGTAGTTGGGATTTAATGTCAAATGTCTTAGTATATATTATAGTAAGCCTTTCTGTGCATTAAAAAAACCACTGTTGTTATGTATCATTGAGTCAGAACTGGCTCACAGCTGACACTACAACAGGATTTCATAGGCAGTTAATCGCACAGGAGACTGCCCATCCTTCTCCCGTGGAGCAGCTGGTGGCTAATAAAGTTTCAGACTCATAAAGCATCTTCAACGAGAGAGTAGCAATGTTTTGAATAGTACTGCAAAGTAGCCTTGTTTGTATTACCAACTACTGTATGTACCTCAAATTTTTATCGGGCTTTATCTGGGTTGTTTGGAACTGAAGTTAGGACTATTCCTTTCTTTTTTCTGTTCCTTTTATGGTGATTTAAGTGAAAGTTTACAAAGCAAATTGGTTTTACAATTAACAATTTATATATATTTTGCTTTATAACATTAATTATAACTCTCACAAGGTAACTCATTAACTAATTGATTTTCCTTGGATCCACAATCAACATACTTGGTACCAGCAAAGTACCACATGGGGAAACTGCATTCAGGGACCTCTCCAAATTACTGGGGAGCAATGATGTCACTTTGAAGACTAAGGTGCTCTTGATTCAGGCCATAGTCTTTTCAATCACTTGCTATCCACCTGAGAATTAGACCATAAATAAGGATGAAGAAAAATTGATGATTTTGACTTGTGGTGTTGGAGTAGTGAATGTCTCAAGGACTGCCAAAATAACAAACATATATCTTAGATAAAAGTGCAGCCAGAGTGCTCCCTGAAGCAAAAATAACTAAGTTTTGACTGATATACTTTGGAGATATTGTTAGGAAGAGGCTATTCCCTGAAGAGGAACATTATGCTTGAAAAGGGGGAGGGTCAGCAAAAAAAAAGAGGAAGATGCTCAACCAGATGGCACAGGATACGGCAGGACAGCACCTAACAATAAGAATAAACTAACAATACTCTTCTCACTTCATCCTTGTGATTCTTGTTTCCATTAAATTTCAGTCTCACAATAAACAGGGCTATAAATTAAACAACCTCAAAAAGACAGACTGACACAATGACTGCAGCAATGGGCTCAAGTCAGAGATAATGAGGATGGCACAGGATAGGATAGGGCTCAGATATGTTATTTATAGGGTCACAATGAATCGTACTTGAGTTGATGGCATCTAATAACATCATCAACAACCTGTGTTAGGCAGATGACATAACCTTGCTTGCCAAATCTGAGGAGGGCCTGAGGCACTTGTTGCAGAAAGCAAAGAACTACAACCTTCAACATGGATGGAAGCTCCACATCAAGAAAACAAAGATTCTCACCACTGGGCCGATTGGCAGCATCATGACAGACAGTGAAGAGATTGAGATTGTTAACAGCTTCAGTTTGCTTGGCTCCACAATCAACACTCTTGGTAGCAGCCAAGGAAATCAAAAGATGAACTACACTGGCAAAGTGTGCTGTAGGGGACCTCTCCAAAGTACTGAAGAGCAACAATGTCAGTCTGGAGACTAAGGTGCACCTGATCCAGGCCATGGTCTTTGCAATTACTTGCTATGTTTCAGAAAGCTGGACAATGCCTAGAGATGATAGAAGGAAAACTGATTGATGCCTTTGTACTGTGGTGCTGGAGACAAGTACTGAATTGGACTGCTAAGTGAACAAACAAGTTCATCCTAGAGAGGGTGAGACCGGGCTGCTCCTTGGAGGTAAGGATTTTGGAGCTCCATCTGACATACTTTGGGCATATTGCAAGGAGGGATCAGTCCTTGGAGAGGGATGGCATGCTTGAGAGTGTGGAGAGACAGCACAGGAAAGGAAGACCCTCGATGAGATGGATGGACTCAGTGACTGAGGTAATGTGGTAGGTGTGTCAGAGACAATGAGGTTGGCTCAGTATAAAGCAGGGTTCAGAGCAATTGTACAAAGGGTTGCTATGAGTCTCAAGTGACTTGAAGGCACATAACAACAGTAACATTAGAGAAAATCACTCCTTAGAGGAACCAACCACACACAGTCTAAAGGGCTGCAAATGCACAATGACAAAGCTAAGAATGCAGGCAGGAAGGGATAAAATAGATTACCTTTTTTTTTTTTCAAAGTTTGTTTAGACAATCAGTCTAAATTTATATTTTAATTGTTTATATAGAACTCTGATTGCCTAGTGGGCAAGGAGTTCAGCTGCAAACCCCAAGAAAGGCGGTTTGAATCTGCCAGCTGCTTCGAGAAAGAAAAATGAGCAGTCTCCTCTCATGAAAATTTAGAGTCTCTGAAAACCTGCTGGAAGGTCAGCTGTAAATTGGTTCCAACTCGAGGGCACATAACAACATGTAGAATAATGAGATGGTGTGCATAATGGTCCACAGATGGAATCCACAAGCTGTTCTTCGAAAGAAAGATAGATAGTCTCCTCCCATAAAGATTCACAACCTCGGAAACCTGAAAAGTCACTCTGAATCAGAATCCCTTGGATGGTATTAGCTGTAGAGACTGCTCTGGTAGAGCAGTGGTAAAACACTTAGAAGAAAGGTGTGGCAGTGGGCTTTTCTTAGAAACTTCAGGAGACAATTCCACCCTTTCTTATAGGATCACAAAGACTCTGACCTTACGACCCACTATAAATCCACAACAATGGTTTATGTAGAATACAAAGAGCCCTGCAGCACTGTGGTTAACAGGTCAGCTACAAAGAGATAGGGCGGAGGTTCAAACCCAGCAGCACCCCTGCTGGGCATATTAACAATCTGTAGAAAACAAACCAACTGAATAAACATCCCTTTAAATGAACCAAATTATATTTACAAATTCTACATGAGAATATAAAACTAGGAAATATTTTGTCACTTTTAGAAACTGACAGATTGAGAAATAAAAGCAATTACACCTCAGTTAGTTTAATTCTGCCTAATTTTCTAATTCTTATTAAGAAACGACTAGACGACACTTAACATAGAGCTCAGTTGCCCTAATGGACAGAAAGTGATGCTACCAAGCCAAAGGTGGGTTTAATCTGCGGCCCTCAGGCCTGCTTTTAATTGTTTTTGGTCAAACATTCTTCTAAGTGGTATAGCACTGGTCTGTCCTTTTGCTGTACAGAGATAACTTGTAATTGCTGTGATGCTAAACACTGTGACTCTGATGTGTCAAATGCGATAATGGTTACCCATGATGGACAGTGTTTGCTGGAGCTCCTAGATTAAAACAAGCTTGGAAGCAGGAGTGGCATCCACTTCCGAAATAACCTTGCCTCCGGAAACCCAATGAACTTGGAGAAAAGAAAGTTATATAAATGTTTCAAGTCTTTCGTTCATAAGGTCATTATGAGTCGATGGCACTTAACAACAACAACATTAAGAAAATTTAACAAAGAAAAATTACCCTGGCATTCCCCAAGAGATCTTTTCCAGAGACGAGGGTAATAGCTAAAGTTCTGTCCAATTTTCTCTGAGTTACGATTATTAGCTATCTATCTCAAACATTTAATTATCAATAGAAGATAATTAATACAGAATTTAAATCACCCTGATCCAGCAAACAGTATATTTAAGACACTGTGCCCACATTTCTCCATTTGTGTTACATTTTTTCCAATGGCTGAGTAGTGTTCCACCAGGGTCAAAGCACAGTGAAATCTACTATCTATAATGCATCCACAGATTTAAAAACCGGTGGAAAGGGGTGGTATTATTACTATTAATCTCCAAATTATAGAACTGCCCACTCATTGATTCACAAACTTTTCCTGTTTTCTGGCATTCAAACACCTGGGAATAACCATTCACACACATTGGAAACGCCGCATCACTAGACAGTTGTTAGTTCCAAACTATTCTGCAAACTTTGCAAAGTCGCACAGATCCCGATCCCTCATTCAACCCATCCTCCCACCGCACAGGAGAAATAAAAGTTGCGCCGCATCAAGGCAATAATTTAAAAAGAAAGAAGTTTGTCCCAGTACTGCCCACTTGCTCTCTAGAGGACGCAACTGAAACTTGCAAACGAGACACGTCTCCCCGGGGACCGAAACTTGCACGGGGGGAGGGGGAGGCAGCGAGACGCACCTCCCCCAGGATCTGGTCGACCCCGGTTCCCTCTCACGAGCCCGGCTTCATTTACCATCAGCCCCCCTCCTCCCGGGTCCCCCGCAGATGCTCCCAGCTCGCCCCGTAAGCTGCGCCCCCGCCCCCGACAAGGCTTCTACCGGACCCGCCGCGCCCCCCTCCCGGCTTCTGCCAATCACACTCCAGAACCTACAATCAAGGTTCCAGGGGGCACCAAGGACAGCCTCGCACGTTTCCTAGAACCCTCGTCCCGGAACGTGCCCCCTCGAGGACTCAGAGGGAGGGAGCCGCAGCCTCGTCCACCTCCTCCCGGGTCTGGGAATGGCGGCGTCCGGCTCCCCGGGGGCCAACACCAAGTCACTGGACAGAGAGCAAAACCCAGGGAGACCGCGGCCAGCAGCCGGGCACCTGTGGTGGAAGAGCAGGAAATGAAGTTACCTCAGGACTGTCCCGTCGGCAGAGGATGTGGGCAGTGGGCAGAGGGGGAGTCCCGGGCCGCAGAGCAAGACCTGGCGCGGCTGCGCTGCGCGACGGCGGCGGCTTATTACTGCAGTGCCCTCCGCCCCATTGTTTCCCTTCCAAGAGGATCCCGGCGAAGCTGAGCCCGGGAACCAGGAAGTTCCCCGGCGCGACACCTCC